TCAGTTTTGTTATTTTGAAATCTCTTGGATTATTTGTGTCATCAACGAAAAGAAATTGTTATATATTGATTAATCCACATGAAATCTTTCATTTTGTACGTGTCATTTTTATTCAACATTTGGTTGCCATTTCATATGAAAATCCATTTAGAAACCTACCGCAAACTTCTTCTACTATCTCCACATTTTTCTTTATTTCTGTCCACCTTATAACCACTTATCACTGTATGTGTATCTTTCCTTATAATCTAATGTCTATGTTAGTATTCTCCATTTACTTTTAACATATCCCTACTGTTCTACGCATTATCCTTTCATTTCTATGCCATATATCTCCGAGATGATACACCCTTGGAATATCTTTATTAACTTCGGTATAGACACTTCGTTTTTCGTGATTTTTATTTTCTGTCGTCTATGTCTACACATTATGTACAACAAAGTGAAAGACATAAGGGTTAAGCAAGACATTGTGTGTACATGTGTACGCGTGTGTGCGTATGTGTGTGCAAGTTGCGATAATTTAATGGAACCCATCTTCTTTACCCACCTTTGCTTTTTAGTTTTTCACTTTAGATTTTGTTTCATTTTTTAGGGCATTTTTGTGGTATTTAGAAACGACTAATTTATCTTGAAAATAAATGTAACAAACCAAGGAGGTGAAATACAAACATACATATGCATACAAAACACAATAATATCTGTGTGGATAAGCTGAATATCAGAGAAAATGGAAACTGTAGAAGTGGTCGACTGTGTTTGTAAACTGCTTTTACCCTGAAATGTAATTAGTATCTTTTTCGGCTGTTTTTGTTGTTATTATTATTGTTATACTTTCAAAATGAATGAATATTATAGTTATCCTATTTAGCATTTAGGCAAGGCGTTACACCGGGCGTCAATTCTTTACAGTTACATATTAATGTTTGTTAGTAAATTTGAGTTTGTGTGCTAACTAATATGGAGGGGTGTATAAACTGATAAAAGCACACAGTTGTTTTCAACAGCTCATACAACTATGCCAATCGGTCTAATTATTAATAAACATAAATAACACGATAAAAGCAAAACAACTGACTTGTGTTTAAATGAAGACAGGATAAATACATGAATAATTGAAATAAATATATATACTTAGAGAAAGAAAATATGAAAATATTGGGAAAGAATGCCTATTGTATTCAAAACAGTACTAAAGGCAGTGGAAATAATTTGAAAAGTGAAAGGTTAAGAAAAGTTATCCGAGTATTGTTGACATTTGATAATATTGATAACACAGAAATATCTTAATTGGTTTCAAGCAATAAAAGAAGAAGTTTCATGCATTTATTCCCCTTGATGAACTTGAATAAAGCAAGAACGACAGTGGTTTGTTGTACTATGCAGCTCTGTACTATAGAGCGAGGAGAATATGCTCTGCAAAGAAATTAGAGGAAGAATTTACGATTCTCGAAGAGATGCTAGAAAACAACTGTTATCCTCAAAGATTCGTTAACAAATATGGAAGATTTGAAGTCTCAAAAATCAAACCAGTCACTGTTGAAAAAAGCCTGTTTTCATTGAACTAGATTTCAAGGGTGAAAATACCGCAGCAACCGTCAACAGAAGACTGAGTACGTCACTAGACCAGAGACTATCCTGCAGCTAAGCTGGTTCCTGTCCATCGAACAACATGCTCTTTGGTGCAGTCAAAAGTCGATAACTGCAAATACGTATACAAATTTACGTGTATCTGCGGGAGCAGTTACATTGGGAGAACAAAAAGAAGGGCACATCTCCAATTTTCTGAACATATGCCGAAAAGCCTACGTCTCACGGGAACAAACTCTTATAATAGCGGTATTACCAGACATCTCCCTGATACGGGTCATGAGGTGGAAATCACGAAACCCTTTAAAATTATCAATAGACAGAGGAGCTCGATTATACTCAAGTTTGCCAAAGCAATTTCCATCAAACGCATTGAAACCAGATTTATGTGCTCAGAAAGAAGAAGTAGTTATCAGTCTTTCCTTGCCCTGGTAACTGGATGTCTTTATTCTTTCTTTTATTTGATCACGCAATCTTTGGCTTTAACCTCGCCCCTTTGACGTAGTGTGATTTTTCATGGCTCTTGTTTCTATGATTTGAGTTGAACTCAATACATTGTTTCCGAATTTATTAGTCACTCAGCATCTTACGCATCTGCCGTCTTTATTACGTAACTCCTTTACCATTGTGTGTATATATTTATTTTGTTTAAACTTGAACTGCCTGTGTAAAAACTAAATAAGCGCAATTTTCTGAGCACTATTCACCAATTGCGAAACTTTCTGTCAACTGACATCATGAGAAATTTGAAAATATGCTAAACCTTTTCTCTACATAAACCTCATAATTTATTTAGGCTGTAAGCACTGCACAAACCACTGTTGTTCTTGCTTTATTCAAAAGAAGAAGTATACCAGTATAAACTGTCATCAATTTTACTCGATGTCATTTTTCAAACATCTTAAAATTTAACGAAAACTTTTATTTACTGTTATCTATCCTATGTTCAATATTGTGAGAGAAGTCTCAACATCATAGGCACTGAAGATAGTCATTAGGAAATGAGTGACAAAAAACACCAAAATATTAGGCCATTACTTCATTTTGATGTTGGCGCTGAAACTTTTGTTTAAAATGGCCATGGAAACTTTGTAATAAAGCCATTCAGCCCATAGTACATGACAGTACTACAAGGAGTTTAGTGATAGGACATTAATTAAATAATATTGACATTCCAGAAATACCTTCATTGCTTTATCCATCATCTGTTCGATATCAGATATGTAAAGTGAGGATTCGTTGTAAACTAATAGATCTAAATACTAACCGATACTAGTGGGATCTATGATAGAGATCAAGGAGCGGCGTTATGGTTTTTTTATCGAGTAGTTATACACCAGACACTTGTTGGTATAAATCTTTTGAGAACAGAAGAACGCAAATCTCGTGCTTGGCTTTACCTTAGGATTCCTCAGTATCACTCAGCTGTGACTCAATGCCAGGAAGAATAGAAAATTGATAAGTAGCCACTAGCTATTGGATTTTGTTCTAACAAACGAACAACAAAATAGTGATCACAAAAACTGGCTCTGTCTCTCATCATCAGGCTGCAGATGAATACCACTAAGAAGTTTCTAACATCTCTTAAGCCTCCAACAGTTCTCTAGTCAACTTTGATTCATAAAGAAGACTACTCTGAAGTGTGTTTTGTATTTGAAAGAAAGGACATATAAGATTTCTGGAAAATCAGATAATGAATTTCTTTAGCCTACCAGCAGCTGCCACTATGGTTATGTTTCCTCAGATGTCTATATTTAAGTGAGCAAAATTCACCAGTTTGTTAAGAAATAGACAAAACTGCAGGCATTTTTATTTAAACACATAAATTTAGTCAGATACAAAGGAAGTAAGTTAGGAAATTAGTTCATCTCACTATTATGTACAAATAATTTGCTGATATGTCATTTTGTAATGGTAGAAGACAAAAGACTTGAAAAGGCAGTGTTGGTTGAGAATTTGGCATGTCCCTATACCGAAATTATGCACACCTTATCTACAAATCGTCATTTGCACAGATCGTTGGTTTTGTGCTAATTCTTCCCTTCGTATTGTGGTTCTTTGTCTTCTTTTCGTGTCTCTTATGTTTTGCCGCAACGCTGAATCAATTGCTCTCTTTGATATCAAATCTCTGTCTCTTCTATTTGATATTTTTATGCCGATGAACGTCTCTTTATATACTACTGATAAATCTTATCAGTAGTACATGCCACAATTTTACTCACTAATGTTATGTCCAGTGAAATAATAATACACTCAAGAACAGTTGATCTTAAATCTAATAAATTTTGAGCATGAATCTGTTTTAATCTTCTATTAATCACCAACTCACTAAATTAGCTGACTGCATTAATACATGTACACAGAGTAGTATATCAGTAAACAATGAGTGTGAATAATGTTCAGTCAATTAAACATACCCACAACGAACCCACAGAACAGAATTTAGCGTTCTTATTCTTGTCTTCTCCCATTTAAAATTAATATCATCATGTCCACGTAACTATTTTGTAATTAAAAAACTTCTGTCCTTTACTTTAGACTTTCCAGGTATCAGACTCCTGAATGATGAGTTAACCCTGAAGTAATCAAGAGATGAAGTTCTATAGGGCAAAGTTGTTAACTAGATGTAGGATCTTATAGAGTTAATACTTCTGCAGTACATTTTCCACTTATCCACACATTTAAACATAGCTTAAGGTCAAAGAGCGAAATGACTGAAAGTGTTTAGCATCCAGTTTATTTATAAAGTTGTCTCAATGTTTAGGTGAACTTTGATTTTAAAATTTTGAACTCATGAGATCATGCTTGTATACTAGACAATAAATTCAGGTGAAATAAAGTGTAAAATCGTAAACACTACTCGTACAACCAGTAACTAACCATCTGGGCGGTTCATTTATTAAAACTCAGTAGATATTTTAAATCATCAGATTATAATTTAAGGTGCAGTTACATTTTAGAAGCCAGCCCAATCAACCCTAGCAGTGACCTTGAGCAACTAATCAGAATTAGCGAGCAATGAAAGTCAAGATTTTCAGAAAGATGATACTGGGCCATGATGGTCTGAGACCCGTTTATATTTATGATTCTGTTCTTTAATCTATCGCAAAAACCCAATCCTCCCAAAAGGTCAGTTATCCTGTCAAGCTTCCCCCGAATATTCATGTTCTAATAACTCCATTAATCCATTATTCAAACGTTAATGAAGCAGTTGGTTTTCCTGGAACTTGTTAAGCAAATACAGAACAACAGAAGGCGAAATTCGATTTGGTTATGCCACGCGCAACGTTAACTGGTTGTCGATGATCATGTGACACGGTAGTTACTATGGTTCAAATTCGCCTAATTTACTACAATTGAATTTGAAACAGAAAAATATTTTTAAATTATATACACAAAGAATTACTTACAGTTTTTCTGTATACACTGGAATATTTGTTGGAATAGATTCCAGGTGGATATTTTTACACTCTACTTCGACAAGATTACATTCACACTCAGCTGGACACGTAAAATTTGCATAATTGTAAGTTTTAGCAAATCTTGTTTGAATTTTTTTATCATAAGATGGATAATTTTTATTATTGTTGTTGTTATTATTACCATTTCTGTGAAAAGGATATCTACGTGGACGATGACGTTTTAACTGATATGTTTGTTTGCTACTTTCCCTGCGGAATTTCTGTTTACTGTGATCAGTTATAGTATGAATTAAATTAGTCCGTTGTGTAACCAGTTTATCTTCAATTTTTGGCTGAGAAAAATGGAGTAGATCAATGTGTTTTGGTAAGGCAGCCCAGATTCTCTTTTTAGACTTATATGAGGCCGATGATTCATCATTATTATCATTATTATTTTTATTTGTATTAGCAGTAACATTCCACTGATGTTTGACAGATGAAGTGGTGGCAGTTTCATCAGCTTCGATATGTTTCGATAAAATTAATCCTGTAGTATGGAAATTAGTGGGAAATTTTTGCAAATCGATAAACAGGGCGAAAATAATTGAAACAACTAACAACATGTCATTGGGAATATTCCATATGAAAAATTGCATTTCATATATTTATCTAGTATATTGTCCTTTGATTGAGGTAAACATAAAATTTGATGGATTCCTGTGTGTCGTTGCTTCTTCTTTTTTAATATAATTTCTAAGTGTGATGATTGATAATTTTATTACTAGTGTAAATTAGCATTTCCATCCAGTATCTGCGTTACTGACGTGGATTACATTGAAGTGCAACAAATATCGTTTAATTTTCTAATCGGAGTAGTACTAGAGTAATTATTATTATTTCGATGGTGATTGGTTAATATTAGGCGATAATCATACTAGTCTCGCCAACCAATCAGAAGTATGCAAATAGAAGATTGGTTACTTCATGGGTGCAATTACAGCAAAAGAAAATATTAACTAAAATAGTCACGCAAACATTCACACTATAAAATTTGTTGAGATGTCACATTATGTAAGGGATTAGTTTAATATGCAGTTAGGTAAACAACTTCAGGATAAAGTATAATTATATTTCAATAGTTTACACACAATGATAAGTTTTGTTATTGGTAATATTTCGAGCAAAATTACTGTCCGTGTTCACACCACTGTTGGAATTGTTTGATTCCAATCGAAGTGGACGCAGGGGTAAGACAGGGTTGTCTATTATCACCGATGATATTCTTAATTGTGGAGGACTGGATTATACGTCATACTTTGAGCAGCAAGGAGACAGGAGTACGCTGGACCACCGATAAGAATACTCTAGAAGATCTGGATTTTGCAGGTGATATATGTCTATTGTCACACAAACTCGAAGACTTGCAGATGAAAAGCAACAAACTTGCTGAAGAGGCTGGCAACGAAGACAGGATTCCAGGTGACCACGGTGTGAACACGGGCAGTAATTTTGCTCGAAATATTACCAATAACAAAACTTATCATTGTGTGTAAACTACTGAAATATAATTATACTTTATTTGATCTAATCCACAATGCTCAAACTTTTTACTGATATTGACTTCAGGATACCTAGTATTTTCAAAGGTGAGATTGTATAACTATTCCCTTGGGTTCCAAGTAATACATAGGACTTCAACAACACATCTCCACTTTTTTCTGTTTTCTGCCGTCCCCTTCAGCTGGGTCCACGGTTTCCCATAATTTCTCATCTCCTCCAACTTGCACAATCTCTTCCATGTCACTCTGGGACGACCCTGCCGTCGCTTTCCACTTGGATTCCACTAGGGTAATGGCCTGCATTATGCGAGATGTCATTCGATGGCCTCCTCAAGGTGTGCCCGATCCATCTTTATTTTCTCCTACATATTTGTTGAGCAATTGGATCTTGGCTGGTTTGTAACACTGCAGAGTTGTTCTATTCCTAATTCTTTCCGGCTGGCCATTTGATCTTCAGTATGTACCCAGCGAAGACAGCTGTTGGTGAATGTCTGTAAACTTTTGAAATCCTTACTTGACACGCTGGCTAAGCTTCTGATCCGTATAGAACTGACTGACTTCACATTTGTCTTGAAAATCCGAATCTTGTTCTTTATGCTGAGTCAGTGCAGAAGATTTCCAAACTGGTTTCAGTTTGAGGAATGCGTATCTTGCCTTTCCGATTCTGGCTGGCTTTGACATCATCCGTTCCGCCCGGCTGTGATTGAAACCATGCTTCCTAGCTGGATTAGTGAAGGAAATAACCTCTGTCAAACCTATCCCATTGGTGGTGATTGGTACTAGTTGTTGTAGCTGTTCGCTGGTTATCTTCATCACCTAAGTCTTCTCTATGTTCACCTGGAATCCTGTCTTCGTTGCCAGCCTCTTCAGCAAGTTTGTTGCTTTTCATCTGCAAGTCTTCGAGTTTGTGTGACAATAGACATATATCACCTGCAAAATCCAGATCTTCTAGAGTATTCTTATCGGTGGTCCAGCGTACTCCTGTCTCCTTGCTGCTCAAAGTATGACGTATAATCCAGTCCTCCACAATTAAGAATATCATCGGTGATAATAGACAGCCCTGTCTTACCCCTGTGTCCACTTCGAACGCCTCACTGAGTTTTCCGTTGTGGATCACCCGACACGTAACATTGTCATATAGCTGTTGAATGAGATTGATAAAGACTTGGGCACTGCACACCGTAGTACTGAAGTAGTTTCCAAATTACTTCTCGGTCTACCCTGTCTGTCGACGGCCTTTTCGAAGTCGATGAAGTTGAGGAAGAGGTTCAACTGCCATTCTATGCTTTGTTGGATGACGATGCGTAGAGTTGCAATTTGATTAGCATATGATTTGCCTTTCCTGAATACAACTTGTTCCGGTTGGTGAAGCTGTGCATCCAGTGCATCTTTTATTCGCTCCAGGATGATGCGACTTAGTGTTTTACTTGGTGTGGACAAGAGCATTATTCCCCTCCACTTGTTGCAGAGGCCTAAGTCGCCCTTCTTTGGTAGCTTGACAAGGTGATCAGGCTTTCTTCCAATCGGCAGGCACCTTTCCTTCCTTCCAAACCTTTTACAATAATGGCGTGAGCACATCTGCCGCAATCTCTAGATCCGTTTTGACTGCTTCGGGAGCAATTCTGACTGGACTTCAGTAGCCTGGTTGCATTCAAGACTTCTGCTTTCGTTGGAGGATTGGTGTCTACTGGCAGGCAGCTCTGTGCGTACTGTTGTTGGTGGTGGTATTTCTGGGCGACTTACAGGTGATGGTCGATTCAAGAGTCCTTTGAAGCAATCAGCCCACTGTTTTATTTGTTTCTCCTCCTTGATGATCAGGTTCTCTTGAATACTTTTGTTGGTTTCATCATCTGGTCAATATCTTCCCCTATAGAGACCTGGTATCTGATATAATGTCGTGAGGTCTCTTGTACCTGCAGCCTGCTTGTTCTGCTTTAGTTTTGTGTTTATTTTCTTTACTTTCACCTTTTCTCTCCCTTTTTTTTTTCTCTCTTTCTTCGTGTCTTTTTCTTATGAACATCACGTTATATATACCAGACAATTTTTAACGTAAACCAAACGGTAATTCAGAAATCTGATAACATACTAATCATAAGTCACAAAATAATTACTAAATCGACACTGAAAACAGACAAGTTTTGTAAATACTGAAGAAATGACTTCAGACATAACGTAAATCGATTATGGCGCGGTCATAACACGTCTTCAATTAGTTCATTTGATAACAGAGGCTTTTTAGACCCAGAGAAAGTTCAGTGAATCCCAAAAGACAGTGAACACTGAAACGATACAACTGACCTCTCCAAAAGTTTTTTCGGTTACCGGAGTTAGAGTTCACCGAGATGGATACAGCATGTTAACAGTCATTTTTCCTCAAAGCTTTTAGATAAATGAATGTAGTAGTATACTCAAGCTAATAAATCTCAATAACCACAAGGAATTATTATTGTTTCCTTTAATTCCTAGAGGAACATAGGGCTTCAGCCGTGCGTCTCCATTGCGTTCGGTTCTCTGCTAGAGTCTTCACCTGGCTCCAAGTCTGCCCACACGCTTTCATCTCCTCTTCACATGACCTCCTCCAAGTCACCCTTGCACTGACGACCAACTCGCCGTTTCCCTTTCGGGTTCCACTCGAGGGCTTGTCTAGTGATGTCACTTGATGGTTTCCTCAGAGTATGGCCAATCCATCTCCATTTCTTCCTGCATATTTGTTTCACAATCGGTTCCTGGTTGGTTCGCTCATTGCCAGAGATCTCTGCTGCTGATCTTTTCTGGCCATCTGATCTTGAGTATTGAGCGAAGACAACTGTTAATGAAGGTCTGTAGTTTGTTTGAGATGCTCTTTATGACGCGCCAAGTCTCTGATCCGTATAGTAGCACTGACTTCACATTGGAGTTGAAAATCCGGATCTTATTTTTGATGCTGAGTGTTGTTAACCTCCACACAGACTTCAGAGTAGTGAAAGCTTGTCTTGTTTTTCCGATTCTTGCTTTGATATCCTCGTCAGTTCCGCCTGTAGTTGAAACGATGCTTCCCAGGTAGGTAAAGGAGGTTGTTTCTTTCAGGTTCCTTCCATTTATGCTGATTGTTGTCTGTGTTGTTGTTGTTGCTGTTGGTGGTGTTGCCCAGGAATCTTCATCATCTCTGTTTTCTCTATGTTCACCTGAAGTCCTATCTTTGATGCTTCTTCTGCCAACTTGTTGCTTTTCGCTTGCATATCTTCCAGTTTGTGGGAAATCAGACATATATCATCGGCGAAGTCCAGATCCTCCAAGTTTTTTGTGTGAGTCCATTTTATGCCTGTTTCCTCATTGCCCGCTGTTTGTCGCATTATCCAATCTACTGCAATCAGGAAAATCATTGGAGATAGTAGGCAGCCTTGTCTTACTCCTGTCCTCACTTCGAAGGATTCCGTAAGTTTCCCGTTGTGGATTACTTGGCATGCAGCATTGTCGTACAGCTGTTGGATGAGATGTATAATTGTCGGTGGCATCCCATAGTAGCGAAGTAGTTGTCAAAGCACCTCTCGATCGACGCTGTCGAATACCGGGAGATAACTGTCGATCTTATTGCCAGATTTTATAATTTTCCAATAAGTTTATGGATACATTTACATTGATAGTAACTAGGCAATCACTAAAGTTCATCAGGCAACTCAAAAACTGACCTTAATTACTCAGATGTCACACATAGTTTGACATTAGTTATCTAACACTCTAAACCTCTATATAGTACTGTGGGAACTGGAATGGTTATGTGAATAATAAGTACGTCTACTACTGCGATTCGTAAAGGTACATTGTTATTTATTTTTATTTATTGGTAAAACAAAATATAAATAATTTTCCGGAATACGACTTTCTGACTTTCGTTCTTTTCTTGTTGTCATCTGAGTTACCAGTATTCCGTCATTACTAATTACAACTACAAACAGACACCGCAAAGTACTGCGGATAGTTTATTTTCCAAAATTATCAGAGAAACAGACTTTAACCTAAGGAGAGACTTTGGTCTTTCAACCATCAGTAAAAGAATGAAACATTAAAACAAAGATACATGACAATGATTGTCATAAATAAAAACAAAAGAGTCTCTTATTAGTTTGTTTATTGGATATATCACTCAGTGAAACAGTATTATTTACTGGATGACGTTTCGAACAAAATTTATTTTTCATAAGCATATCATTTGTAATCACACGACTTCGAAACTTGAGTTTTTATAGTTTTCTTTGTTCTCTCCTATTTGTCGTAGGGGCAGTAGAATTTTCCAGATATCTGGGACAG